TTATTGGGGGGCAACATAAGAGAATAATACTCTTCATCATCTTCTCTTTACCCACAATAATGCAATTGAGAATCACTTTAAGCCACCACGGACGCTCTCGTTTTTCCCTCCTAATTATCCTGAGGACTTTGTCTGCTTCACATAACATAGTATGGACTAGTAATTTTTTTTTTTATAANCCGTCGGAGTACCAAAATTTTGGCTCATAATCTCTTTGGTACCCGGATTCGGTCTTTAGATATTCTGATTTAAAGAATATCTTTCCGTACCAAAGAGAGTTTGAACCCGGAGCACATGAGAACCAACCCCTTTTGTCCTACCATTAGGCTACCACGTAATGTTTGAACGTATATTAATTCTCTTAAACTTGTTCTTTTTAAAACAATCACAAGAAAAAAATATTGTGTCACAAACCAAATACGACTAAATGATGGAAGAAATTATTTGCACCATTTGAAAATTAAAGTTCATGCCATCCAAATTTATGATCTTGTCCCATATTCTTCCAAGCATAAGGCTGATTTTTCTAAACACACTGCACATTATTATTTCTTTTACTATATCCTCATGTTGCAGAGAAAGTTGATGGAATCAGCATCTATCTAAACATCCATTCTCATAATAATGTTTATAAAAAGCCATGTTCCTCAAACTACCAACTTCACTGCTTCCTTTGGCTTACCTGTCTCTTGTTATCTCAGGTTCTTCCTTCTCCTTCCTACTGGTTTTGCAAACCTAAATTATTACTTTTAAGTATAATGGCTAAATGCTACTAGTATATGTTTTTAAGGTGTTTAGCAATACATAGAGAAAAAGATGAGTTGGACTGGAGGAGACTGGCTTTGTGGGGCGTGTCAGCACCCAAACTTCAAAAAAAGGGAGATATGCCAAAAATGTGGATACCCCAAGTTTGGAGGGGTAGATGTGTCAACGTACTTGTACAACAGGACTGAAGTTTTGGCTGGTGATTGGTATTGTGGTGCATTAAATTGTGGAAGCCACAATTACGCGAGCCGTACAAGTTGCTACCGATGTGGAATGATCAAGATCGAGTATACAGATCAATACTACGGACATCAAGTGGTTACATATGGGAATGATGCCGGAGGTTGTCCTCCCGGCTGGAAAACTGGCGATTGGGTTTGTCCAAGGGTCGGTTGTGGGGTTCATAATTACGCAAGCAGGGCAGAGTGCTTCAAATGCAAGACAACAAGAAATTACGGTGTGTTAATTTTCACTTTTTCGTTTGGAATGATCAAAATAATTGATCCTATTCATAACACTAAACCA